ACCAATTTCAGATTCTTGAAATCCTTCTTTTTTACATACAAATCCTAAATTCACCTTCTTGATATCTGTTCAAAAAACACTCATGAACACAGATCCCTGAGCATCGCCCGAACCCATAAGGCCATTTAATAAATGAATTGCACCCCAAACATCTGATCATCCCAAAATAATCACACAAGACCTAGAACCATAACATATGAGGTTACAATATATCAGATCACCCAGAATAGATCTGACCACATAGCAAAAAATGGAGAAGGAGAATGGAGAATGTGCTCACTGCTCAGGGGTCAACTGCACACAGTCTTACCATAAAGAGGCTGGTTCCATGACTCAATCCCATGATACAAGATAAAATTCATCAAACAAATCACTACATATAATGATTACATAACTTATTCTTCGATAACTATTGCAGAACACAACAAAATCCCAGACTAAAGGTCAATTAGTTCAAAGCCAACTAGCCAACGACAATACATTAAAATATTTTCAAGTATTTCATCAGGACGACATAAACTATTTTTGAATCTGATACCAGAGCTTTTGTTAACTGATGGACTGTGGCTGTTAAACAGTTTCATTGCAATTGAGTTTTCTTTTCATAGAACATCATACTCAATTTGAAACCTGCTAGTCTTTATTTTCATTTCTCTATGTTTGATACTATTCTGAATGGTTGTTTTAAAAAAATGATTGTTAAATTTAGAACTCGGATGCGAATGATTACCATGTTACAGGTGTGCATCTTAGGTTTCCAAAAGCACTAGCTCACGTTCTTGCTAGCAGTTTACAAGTTTGAGGAGCAGTTTAGAACTTCTGGATCTAACAATGCTAAGGTAATACTTCTAAGCTTGAGAACTATAGAAGCAACCATGGGAGAGAAGCATGGAATTGATGAACAGAGATTAACATTAGAGCTTTAGTTCCTTTTTAGACTATTTATGATAGCATACTTGGGTGAAGGCTAATGATAGATTGATTGGAATTCCAAGGCTCTCTTAAAATTTGCATGACTTGTTTTTCAGAAGAAGGCAATACAAATGAGGTTTTTGAGAAGGTGGAAGGTTTAGAATTTTCGATTGAGGCAAAAACAAGTTTTGGATTTTCTAGTCACTAAATTCCGGTTGTTTACATATCGGAAAAGAAGAACTACATTCTGTTTGTGAGACAAGACTTGACTGGATAGTTTTATAATTATTTCTCCTAACTTAACAAAGCTGTTTCTACTTTGAACTACGAACATGGGAGCAAATTTGAAACTAATGAAAATTTATTAGTTGAACGATACTGTTTAAAGGAAAGTAAGGGATTATGAGTTGCGTACTAAGGTACTATATCATGCACTGTGATACTACAACAAACTCAAGGCATTATAGGACACTGAATGCTAAACAAAATTCATCTGAAACCCATTTGAACAATAAACAAAAAAGGACATTAAATTAACAAATTCATCTACAAAATTCATCTGAAACCCATCTGAACAGTAAACAAAAAAAGAATCATTAGGTCAAATAACAAACCGTAGCAAACTTATCTACATAATCAACATGAAATTACAACAATATTATACAAAATTTCCAAAAAATCCAGTGGTAATTAAAAAAAAAAATAGACAGGTAAAAAATAAATTCGTTCAAGAACAAAATCCACCAAAACCATATAACCAACAAATCCTTAAATCAAAACACAAATCGTAGTTATAATCTTTTGAAGATGAGAACGTAGCAGATAAGGAGAGTGGTCTGGTCTGAAATTTCAACCGTAGCTAATAGAGTTGAACAGAGGCTGAGTCGTCTGGTCTCGTCGGAGAAGACGGTGGTTGTAGGCGAAGGAGGAGGACCGATCGATCGATCTGAGACAGTGGGCTGACTGGTTGGAGGAGGAGGAGTAGGTGGAGGAGGGAGGACCGATCTGTGAGAGAGGAGAGACCAATTGAACTGAGAGGGTAAAAAATTTTTAAAATATTTATCTAAGTTTTCTTAAATGACATTTTTAACCCTTAAATTTTTAAAAATATTATTTTAAATGACGTTTTCATCCCTTTGTAATTTTTTAGCGCCCGTTACTGCCATTTAAAAAAACTATGTTCAAAAACTTTATTCTAACTGACCACTTTAAAAACGTCATTAGAAATAACGTTTTCAAGGAAAAAAATTTAAACTTCAAAATGTCATTTCAAATGACTTTTTTAGGTGAGAAGACATTATTTCAAATGACGTTTTTAAAAAAAGATTGAGTTTGAAAATTAAGTTTAAAAGTAACTGTGTTTGAGAATTAAATTTTGAGGGAAAATGGGTCGGGGAAAACCTCTTATTACTTTTCTCAGTTTCTTAGTAATATCAAATTATCAATGCAATGCATAGACAGCATATTATCTTAGTGTGGAAGGTGTCATAGCAATTTCCAGCCATCCCTCTTTTTGCCTTGTCATCCTCATTAGGTCACCTAGAGCTGTTTTCAACCTTTGTATTGTACTATTATAGATGTCAAATGATGCATCTTATCAACTGTTTTCCTGCATTCAATTATGGTTATCCTTAGCTGGATTTGGGTAATGGAGCTAAGTGTGTGCCTCTTGAAATCGGATTGGACAGGATTAGGTGACACGTACCATGTTTTTTTTTCTTTCCTGTGAAAAAAATGTGGAAATGAAAGAGAGTATTTAAAGACCATCTAAACTATTCATATAGACTTTCATTGATAGAATTATAAAGTCCCTGATCACGTTCATTACTTTTCTTAGAAACAAATTTAACTAGACTAGTATAGAGTTTAACCACTAAATTTCAGTGTAAATTCTAAAATTCAAATCTTTAATCTCAGAATGAGAAGTTTGATCGATACCTCACTAGATCACCACGGTAGATGCACCATATTTAGTTCATTCAATCATCGACTAAAATCAGTACAAATCAAGTTGATCATTGAAGGGATATTGTGGTTGGGTTGGTTATAAATCTAGATCATGGACATGCATGTAAAGTACTTGTCACATGAACCCAGTACAGGAAAATAAGTCAACCGATCCAATCTAAGAGCAGCCTTACACTCATAAAGATTTATACACTTTGACAATAGGGGTGGAGGACAAATGTGAAGGCGAAGCTTCATCCACCTCTGGTCCACTATTTTGATAACAACCTTGCATCCGTTTCAATACAAAACCAAATGAAGGGCGATGCTGCCATTTTTTTTTTTTATTTTTTTTTTTATAATTTTAAAGTAAGATATAGGAGAAAAGGGTTGATTTGAACCTTACAGTTGTGTGTGCAAGATGAGAAAGACAAATACCACTTGACTAATCTTTTTTTGCTCATCTTACTAGCAATTAGGATGTAGGTTTGTAAGTTTATAAAATATTATAAATTCTATCTAAAAATTTATATAATTATCTTTAAAAATAATAAATGGTATGATACCAAAATATTTTCCAATAGTGTAATCAAACCCTTGATTTATATCATAGACTCAAAGTCTAAATTACTATTCTTTCATAGTGGTATGCTACAATTGAAGTAATTTAGTCTTATCTCATCTTCTATGAGATAAATCAAACATTCCTTGAATGTGAAAAATGATGTAAGTATGGAATTTAGAATCAATGAGATAATAACACTTATTATTCTTATATTTGGGGAAAATGTTATTTGGTGATTTAATTTAATATATTTATAGAATTAAAAGTTGACTCTATCTAACATTGAAACTCATTTAATTCAACAATCATATTAAATTATATTCTCAAATTAAATCCTTATAACATTTATAAAAATGAGGGAATTAGGAGTTTGAATCTTACCCATATATATTTTTCTGCTCATTTTCATCACATCACATATTTTATTATAAGTTAAATTATTTAATTTTTTATTAATTTGTGATTAAATATAAATTTTATTTTTGAATATTATTCATATGCAATAATGTACGTATGTTATTTTTTTTTTGTTTTTTGAGATTATGTATGTTAAAAAAATTTGTCAACTTTTAAAAAAAATAAAAGATAAAAATTAATTATACAATTAAAAAATAAAATAATTATTTAATATACTAATATCCATTTTTTAACCACACAATATTTGAAAGGTGCGTTCGGATGAAGCTGTCTAATAGAGCTGGATTACGCCTAAATTGGTATCCCACAATAAATACATAGGCAAAGTCGTCCGTAGGTCCCACGTTCGTACTGATGCCTGACGACGTGGCAAGATATAATTGTTGGTCACTAACATTAATATTGGGCATGTATCTGGTAGCTACTAGTAGTAGCTTTAGCTGGTGGGATGTCAAAACATCCGCAAATTCATATCCCCTCATTTTCTAAATATTTGCCATTTTATATAATTTTTTTTATTTTATAATATATTTTGTTTAATAAAATTAAAATATAATTAATATTTTTTTTTTTAAATTTACCCTTAACTTTTTAATACATTAAATTTTATGGAGGTTTAGTGTCTTTTATATTCTTTTCTTCTAAATATATATTGAATAAAAGTATTTTAGTATTGTACAATTATTTTTTACTCATATTAGAGCTATTTAATAATTTTTTTAATTCTTGTGCAAAAATTTTAAACGACAGATATTTAGGAATGAAAGAAGTACAAATTATTTATATTTCTTTCGTTCTTAAATATCTGTTGTTTAAGGTTTTTGCACAAGGATTAAGAAAGTTATTAAATATCTCTAATATAAATAAAAAATAATTGTACAAAATTAAAATACATTTATTCAATACGTATTGAGAGGGGAAAGAATATGAAAGACACTTAACTTATATTATTTATTAAGCATTTATTGAAAAATAGAGATAAACGTAAATTTGAAAGAAAAAATATTTATTATGTTTTAATTTTATAAAATGACAGATATTATGAAACAAAAAAATTATGTAAAACGATAAATATTTAGGAACGTACAGAACGGAGAGGGTATTAATAATTCACAACACAATTAAAAACTGAAGTAAAAACACACTCAATTTTATCATTTGATATTTCTCTCTCTCTCTCTCTGGAGAGTGCCCCCCCCACCCCTCCCCCGGTTGATCTTCCAGAAAAACCTACGAAAGTGACCGGAGAACCGATTCTTGTCGGACCATAGCGCGTTCTCTCTCTCTCTCTCTCTCACAGATCGCCCTTAAATTTGAAGAATTGTGGTTGGGGCTTCGTTAGTGCTCGTGACCTCGTGTTTCAGACTCTCGTAGGTCTTCTCTGAGGTATGTTCACTGATTCTATGGCTATCGGTTTGGTATTTTTTGTGAATTGTTGGCACATGTGGGTCTTGTTTCTCTTGGATCTTTGTGTGCAATCTGTCTCAGTAGGAGAATTTTTGTTTTATATCTACAATCACATTTCTGATACAACTGGAATTTTAGAGATAGGTATTGTTATTTCCGAATTTTTTTTTTTCTGATTTGGGTCTTAGTCTAACGATTAATTCCCTAATGGAACTCTTACCATCATATATGAATATGCGACAAACCCTCCATGCTCTCCTAGCTAATTATGACATCGGTCAATCAAGAATTTTTTTTTTTGTAAAGTTTGAACCTTGTTTTAATGCTATGTCTGTTCCAAGGTTACTGTCAGACTATGGACATTGGCTATTTAGAAAAATTCCATGGCTTTGAGCTTAATACTTTCACGATCATGGTTTTAAATAACGGCAACAACCCTCGTAATGCTTATTGTAACGGTGCTGTAATGGATACAAGGTGTAAACAGGTCAAAAAAAGTAAAGGTGAATTTTGTTTTCCAATTCACACCCCCTTAGAATGAATGTTTGGGCGTCCCAACTCTGAATCATACAATTATGGAAGTATTGTTAGTAAGACACAAAAAAAATCTTTCAGCAGCGACACCTTTGATCACTTTCATAATCAATTCAATGTCCATTACCAACCCACCACATTCACACAGATTCAGAGGGATTTTAGGGAAATTCGACATCTAGGACATGATTTATTCTTTATTGCATAGATGCAGGGTATTTTTTGAGAAATCCATTCTTATAATAATGTTCAAATGCTTGCAACCATGAGCAAAAATGGAATTTCGGCAGTCACTATGGGCTCGAGCTCGGCCAGTCACAGGGGAGCTGAATCTAAGCATGCGCATGCTCGACAAGCTCGGCTATTTGTTAAAATTTACTCAAAGATTCACAAATATGAGTAGATCCTGTGCAAGTTAAAGTTTTCGAATAATGGGTAGACAAATTCTCACTTGGAGAGAATTCTGAGATGATCCCTTTATCAGTTGTATGAGTGTAACCCATTCTTTTCCAGTGTCTCTTCAGTTTTGCCTTGCCACTTTTTTCATCTTCTTCAATTCAATATTGGATGATATATTATAAATGCACAAACCCTAGAGGCAGGGTCCATGAATATTTAGGTTGAGAAGTAGTTAGGATAGTTCTCGATTTTGATCTATGTATGATTTTCAAGATGGTTATACTCAATTATCTATACCTTTGTACATGTGCTTGACATTTTATTTTATCTTCTTTTAGATGATCAGTTGACTATAAGAATGTCGGTTGTACAAGTTGAAAGTACGGCATCATTGAGCAATGATCTCTTCTATGACATACTGAGGCGTCTTGATGGTGCAACTTTGGCTAGTGCAGCATGTACTTGTGCAGCATTCTGCTCCATCTCAAAAGAAGATAGGTTATGGGAAAATGTGTGTTCTTCCATGTGGCCCTCAACCAACAGGGAAGATGTCAAGAGTTTGATATCGTCAATTGGTGGATTTAAAAAGTTTTATGCAGATTGTTTCCCCCTTATTGTTAACAAGGAAGTTCCTGAGTTCCAGTGGAACACCTATTTAGAGTATCCCGAAGAATGGACTGAGGCTGAATACTATGGTGATGCAGATGAAGTTGAAAATATGTCGCCTTCGGATTTTGTCTTTATTGTAGATATCAGGTATAAAGACAAAACAATATGCTCTAAAGTCCTTTGGGGCGTTCCGAATGTAAATGGCTTCAATGGTTGGTTTTACAACTGTCCATTTCATATTGATTTTCTCACCTGCACAGCTAGAGATGACGACCCTGGAGGTGAAGTTACACTTTCGGTTTCTGATGGTCTGCCACCAGTCACATCAATGGAAAGAGAGAGGAAAGATGGAAAGCTCTGGCAAGAGCTCCGTGATGAAATCCGGCTGAGTTGGATTGTTGTCAACAGAAAAACTAAGCAAGCTGCTAATCTCTCAAGTTGGAGTCCTCTTGGAGGGCAAAGGCACTGGCCAACAGATAGGGATTTCTTGATACGGTTTGGCTCTGTTCTTCCTGCCAAGGATATCCTTCCATGTCAGGCAGTAGAATGCATGCTTATAATGAAGTTCAGATTGATCCATACTGATGGTGGGGCTGCCCAGACAACTCTCAAATTGAAAGAACTGAGCATGCAATTGGGAGACATGGAAGGTGTTCATGTTAATGGAAGAAACAGTTTGCTTGTTCTCAAAGAAGCACTGAGCTGCCGCAGAAGCAAGAATTATAGTGAGGTGTTGGAGTCATGCCATTTGTACTCGAAAGTGCAGAGTGAGCTGAAGGAGGAGAAGATGAGAAATGAAAGCAGGTTAGATAACCTTTGTGTTTTAGGTGGGATATCAGCTTTTGTCACTATATGTTGCTACTTCTTGTAAATGAAGTTTTCTGCGAAATGGAAATGGTCTCTTCATTTTGGCGGTGTGTTATGTAGAATTTTACTTGTCTGACAAACTCTGTCCTTACCCTTTTGGTGTAAACTTTAACTACAGTTTTGTCCTGATAATAAGACATCATGGATCCTTTTGTTTTTAAAAATATCTCAATTTTCAGCAAAACTGTGGAAGCACCATCAACTCAATGTGGGCATGTAGCTTGAATTATCATCTTGGATTCAATTACAATAATTCTCTCTTGATGATTCCTTTGAATGGATCTGTCAAAGGGTCATATTGGAGGAATGCATAGTATTTGATGCTTCCCTTCTGCACCCTTTTTATCTGTTGGTTTGTAGAAGGTTGCATTGTATTTGCCTTACTATGTTGCTTACTGCTAGCCTCTCAGTTGTATTGGTTTGCTTTGGGAATCCCAATTACAAAATCAGATGGCCTATGAAGGGAGGAGAGCTTCTGGGTCCTAGCATGACCTGCGGTTTTCATTGTAGTGTACCGTTGACATATGTATATGATAGACATACCACTGAAATATATATTCTTTAACCGTTTGATTCTGGTAGCTGCATTCATAGGAGAAAGTTCGTTGGTCGATGTTGTAGCGCTCCAACATTATCTCTGATAAAGACAGGATAGCAGCACCAAATTTTGTGCGATCGCTATAATTCTGCACAGGTAATTCAGTCTTTACAATTGGAACGTACACATTCAGAGTTATATCTTCGTAAGAAATAGAGATTTTTAAATTTTAATTATTTCCTAGTCAAAAATAGTCTACAAGTTAGACCAAATGCACAGATTTACACAGCTTATTAAGGAGAGTACGAGACATTAATGATGAAGGTTTCAAACACTTAGAATGATTCAAATTTTAAACTCTAAAGACCTCAATTATAAAAAAACATAAAAAGGAGTGAAAAAGTATTATATTTCAATTCATACATGTTGAATAGCGGGGGCATATTCGTGGTGAGGATTTTGATTTTCTCCTACATATTCTAGCTATGAATTGGACTTTCGGTTAGTCGATAAAAACTCGAAAACAACAGCATGCAATTAAAGTTAAATTAATTCCAAATATGCTCTTACTACGAATGCAGCACCAATTCTCAATTAGGATTACCATCATCTAAAAACACTCTAAAACATTTTTTTTTGGATTCAATGGTAACGAGTGGTCGAGTCAACTTAACGCACACCTCAACTAATTTTCTTATCGGTCCGGACTATATTCATGATAGATAAATCTCTCATGACCTGATTCTAAATAATTGTCAAAATTCAAATTCACAACGTTTGAATTTATTGTTCATTCTTATTATCTCTTGAACTACTTTTGGGAGAATAATTCAACCCAACCCTTCAATCAGACTTTCTTGGGCTCTAATTGCCCTAAATTCGATGAAAAAGATGGATATCATCAATATATTACCTTATAGTGATAAGAAATCTAATTTTATTAGTTGGTCTTAGTAAAATTCAAGATTGACGATCTATTATTTTTTAGTATAAAATGATAAATAATTATTACAACAAATAATTAGCTATTACAACATTTGAAATATGCATATTTAATAAATGGCAAAATACCTACAAAAGGGTGAAAATAAAGACAAAAAAAGGCACTATAAAACTCCAAAATAAGTATGTAACGCATCCTTTATGCGAAAAATAATTTGAATAATTATTTAACAAAATAATTAGTCCCACTCCGTTGAAATCTCGGTGCTAGGCCACATTAAATTCGGTTTATGTACGTACAATATTTGGTGCTTATCCTACTTTAGTTAGGTGGGCTAATTAGAAAATGAGAGGTGGCATTGGACATAATAATGAATAGAAAAGAGTGATGGACGCAGGGACATTGTGGTCAATTATCAAATATATTTAGTCACTGATTGTGATAACTATCCCATCTTTATTTATATGATATGATTGGCGTGTTCGTGGGACCGGAAAGAACACAATCCTCGAATATCTTTATTTCAATAACTTTTTATTCAAATTTTTTTTTTTGCTTTATTGGGAATAATAATTATTCCATAAAGTCTCCCCCCCTCCCCTCCCAAACAACCCTCCCCTCTAAGGCCCTCGACTATGATATGCATTTTTTTTTTTGGGGGATCATACTCAACTCCACAATGTTTTATTGATAATTTTAATTTCGACTATAATATTTCGTCATTTGTAGGTTCTATATCATCTTTTGATTTATGTGTGACCATTAATTGGAAAATGCTATGGATAAATTTATGGAAAATGCTATGAGCACAAAAAATTTATAAAAAATTATTTTTATCAAATGAGTTGACAATTGTTTAACACTCTTAGACCCGCCAAATATTGATTAAAATGTTTTTGATTGGAAATCTTGTCAACACATTTGGTAAAAAATACTTTTTGATAAATGTTTTTGATTGGAAATCTTGTCAACACATTTGGTAAAAAATACTTTTTGATAAATGTTTTTGATCAGCATAACATTACTCTAAATTTATTAATTACTTTATGTCTTACTACAAATGAATGTATAATTATAAGCAAATTACATTTTCGACTCCTTAACTATGGGCTCAATTTCACTTATCCCTTGAACTATTAATTTTTTCACATTATTCCTCAACTACTTGAATTATTTCACACTGTTTTAAAGATAAACACCCTTTATTTTTTTAGATAGAATTTGTTAACGTGATAGAGTGAATTGAAAAAAATACATAGTTTAGGGAAAAAAATGAAATAACTTTCCATCAAGTTTATAATAGACGTTAATAATTAGAGTAATGTCAAACTAATCCTAAAGTTTTAATGGTTTAATATAAAAAATATGATAGTTGAGGGGATAATATGAAAAAGAGTCGTAATTGACAGGGTTAAAACATAATTTATCCTATAAATTTTTTTTTGTGTGTTAAAAAGAAAAAAATTACTGCAAATCATGTAACATCAAACAAAAAAGTTAAAATCTGAGAATTCTCGAATCAAACTAAGGAGAAATTTATCGATTACTTATGTTTCATAAATGAATGCAATACTTTGAATTATGACACGCATTATTATTGTTGTTATTGTATATTATATTTATTTTTTTATTCTTTGCTAGTTAAGTGTATATTATATTTTTTGATCGCATGACAGATTACACCGAGACTCACGGGATCAATTGACTTATTATTTTGGCTTGAATTATTATTATTATTATTATTCTCCTTCTTTTATTAGTCTTGGCTTAATTTATTTGCCTGTCCTTTTCACGTTTGATATTCCATTCTTTTGTTTAATTAATTTTTGACCCTATTGTTTTTTCATGTCAACTTCCATCTAAATCATGGACATATTCAACTATTCAAGTTGAGTTAATTATTCTGATTTGATTTTCTATAATCAATCAATTCATCCTAAAATCACGGACTTGACGTCGTTATCAAATTTTTTTTATAGTATCGTACCTCTAAATTTTATTATTTTTATTAGTATTTTTACAATAAATTTTTTTTATCATTTTTATAAGTGTTTTTATCACTGTTATATTAATTATTTTTACAATTTTTATTCGGTATCGCAACAGTGATAAAAATGCGAACAATAATAATAAAAATACACATAAAAATGATAAATATCGATACAATACCGATTTTTTTTTTCATAAACTACTTACCTAAAAAATTATTCTTCATAGACCTGTGTGGCCCTCAATGATCAAACTCTCATTTCTTAAAAAATTTCCAAGATTTCTTTACAATTTGTTTTTGATGTACAATCATTTTTTGCAAAATTATTGATTTAACCGATACTTGTTAACATAAAAAGCATGTTTATTATAAGTTACAAAAAATTAGCTTTCAAAATTTTCTATTAAAAGAGTACTTTATAAATAAATTTTTTAATATTTAAAAAAAAAATAAGCTAAACCAATTGTTTTCTTCAAAATCGTCATAATTAAGGGATAAATTGCATTTTACACCCTAAAAGATGTCAGAATTCTCGCTTTATATCTTTAAAGATTATATTTTTTATATTATATCATCAGTATATAAAAAATGTTATAATGTGACTCTTCTATTAGTTTCTGTTATTTTTTTTGATAAAAATTAACTCATTGATACTAACGAAAAAATTAAAAAAAATTAATGGAAGGGTTATATTACAATAATTTTGATATATTAAAGGTATAATGTATAATATTTAATCTTTAAAGACAAAAATTTTAAAATTTTGTAGGATACGAATTGCAAAAAATCTCAATTTAAAATAAAATACCTCGAAAAACCTCAATTTAAAATACCTCAATCAAGGCCAGGTGGCATATTAGGCGCACCGAGACATATTGTTCTTTCCTCGTCTTTGGTATTTTTGTCGGCTTTCAGCATTTTGGCACAACCTTTTCCCCACTAAGCCCTCTCTCTCTCTCTCTCTCTCTCTCTCAAATAAAAAACGGTAAAAAAAAGAGAATTACATTCATCCTCCCTGAAATTTATCACTAAATCATTCAGATTCATTGATATTTGAAATATTACACACAAATCTCCTAAAATTTGTATGTCGTAACACTTAGATCATTATGTAAATATATTGTTAATAAATTATACTTAGATCTCTCTAAAGTTTATAGGTATATAATAATTAGACTTCTTAAGTTTAAAATATTATATTTAGACAAAAATACTCTAATCAAAAATAAAATATCAAATATTTTAAATTTTATAATCAAAATTCATGTTATATTATATTATTTTTTGAAATAAAATTAAAATTAAAAATTTATTTTAAAAAAAAAAAAATCATAATTAGTATACAATTATACAATATATTAAAATAAAACTTAAAAATCAAATAAGAGGTCTAAATCATTCATAATAGAATATGAATTTTACATTCAAAATTCATATTCTATTATGTCATGTATTGAAATAAAAGCAAAAATAAAAGTCTATTTTTTAAAAAAAAAAATCATAATTAGTATATAATTATATTATCTATTAGAATAAAATAAAAAAAATTAAACAATTAGTCAAACTGTAATAGATACAATATCTTTTATCTTTAATAGGGGTTGTTTAGTATTTTAATTTGGTTGTTTAAACTATCAAATTAAATTCTAATAGGCAATATAATTGTATACTAATTACGATTTTTTAAGAAAAAAAATTAAATTTTTATTTTTGATTTTATTTCAACAAATAATACAATAGAATATGAATTTTGGTTGTAAAATTTAAAATATTTGATATTTTATCTTTAATTGAAGTATTTTTTATCTAAGTATAATTTTAAACTTAAAGAGTCTAAATATTATATAATTATAAATTTTAAGGGGTTTAAGTATAATTTATTAATTAATATATTTATAATAAGGGTCTAAGTGTTATGCGTATACAACTTTAAAAGATCTGTATGTAATATTTCAAATATCAAAAAAATTAAATAATTAAATGACAAATTTTAGAGGGTTTAGATGTAATTCTTCCTAAAAAGATGTAACTGTTAAGAGACACGAATGCTTTCTTGGCAACTTAAGAACACCCCCTTTCCATCTGTAAAATCTTCATAAATGAACCGAACAAAAACCAAGAAAGAAAAATTCATTTTTTGTACGCACCGGTTTTGCTGCAATGAATCTTTGTCTTCGTTCCAGATTCCACCTCCTCATCTTCTAACTTTGTCCTCGTCTCTCTTTCTTTGTGTCTCTCTCAACTCTCAAGCCCCACCTCCACACAATTCCTTCTATAAAGTTGAATGTGTACTCATCTCCGTTAGACACTCCAAATCATGACCCATTAACAGTTCTTGGAGTCTTCCTCTCTTGCTCATCTTCTAGCCGTCCCTTCCAGACTCTACTTTTTAAAAACACGCCTCACACCAAACCTTTTGGACTTTTTTTGTGCACATTACCGTTTATTCAAAGATGAGAGAGAGTACATCTCCAAGAAGCTTAAAGACAATGAACCAATTGGATTTTTTCAAGAAATTCAAGCGTTTGAAGCCTCTTGAGCCCTCCCCGGGGATTCTTGGTTGCTTCTTTTTCAGTGTTTGCTTGATATTCTGTCTCTTTTTATTGGATTATAGAACTGTGACCCGAAGGTTTCCCTCTGGGGGGCAGCTTGGGTTGGTAAAGTGGTTTGGTTTTAATGGTTCATCTTCAGGTGGGAATGTGAGCGTGGGGTTTCTTGAAGAAAGTGGTGGTCGGTGTGATGTTTTTGATGGTGATTGGGTCTGGGATGAGAGCTATCCACTGTATAATTCCCAAGATTGCTTGTTTGCAGATGGTGGTTTTCGGTGTTTGGAAAATGGTAGGCCTGACAGTTTCTACACTAAATGGCGCTGGCAACCTAAATATTGCAACTTGCCCAGGTTTATTTTAAACTCTCTGTCCAGTAACAATGTTTTGGACTTTAATTTAGTAGGAAATAATGTAGTATAGGCTTTTTTTCTTCCTATTCCTAATCTTCAATATTGTTGTTTGTTGTAGTTTATACTAAGGAGAACATTGGGATTCTTTTTCCTTAATATGTCTTAGATTCTGTTTTTGGTTAATAGAAGTTTCTATTAGCAAATTATGTGTCTTTTGTTGCTGCTGAAAAGTTTGGTAATCTGTTGGATTGAGCCTTCTTTCTGGGTAATTGCGTGTTTCTTCTACTTCTTTGTATTTGATTGTCGTCTTTCTCTGTCTGTGTATTGTTTCTAAGTCAAGCTCATGTCTTTAGGTGCCTCACTCGCGCTACTCAACAAGAAGCCACGGTCAATGCTGAGTATATTGTACATACACACATGTTGAATACTAATATTTCATTAAACTCTGGCTGAAAAAGTTTTGTATCAAAATGGTTTTATCTGTTGATGCAATTCAAGTTCAACAATCCTTCTAAAATCCCAAATCACTTGCCTTTTCTGGATCAACTTTCCGTTATATAGCTGTCAATGTTTTGGTTGACTACTAAATGATTGAGAAAATGTTTTGGTAGGTTGTGAAGTTGTCAAAAAAATAAATAAATAATAATTTAGTTTGACTTTGTTCTTTGTTCTTCCATCATGTTCCATGCATCCCGGAAGAGGGTTTCTTATTTTCAATGGCTAGTTTTCCCCCAATTACAAATAATTAAAGGTTTCCCTGTATTTTTGAATCTATTTGTGATTCAACCTGGGAGACAAATTTGTAACTTTTGTGGGATTAAGTATGAAGAATATGAAATTTCTTACATGGGATGTTTTCTCTTCATGAAACAGGTTTGATGCAAAGAATATGTTGGAAAAACTGCGTAACCGCAGGCTGGTATTTGTTGGAGACTCAATTGGAAGAAACCAATGGGAGTCTCTCCTCTGCATGCTTTCTTCTGCTGTTCGTAATAAGACTAAAATATATGAGGTGAATGGGAACCCAATCACAAAGCATTCAGGGTTCCTAATTTTCAGGTTCAAGGATTACAACTGCACCATTGAATACTTCAGAGCTCCATTTCTAGTGCCTCAGGGCCGGGCGCCTGCTGGAGTTCCGGAGAAGGTGAAGACTACGTTACGAGTGGATCAACTGGATTGGAGCTCCCCACAGTGGAAAGGTGCAGATGTGCTGGTTTTCAACAGTGGACATTGGTGGAATTATGAGAAGACCATTAGAGTGTAAGCATAATTTTTCTGAAGTCTCTTCCTGTGGGTTAAGATATTTTTAACTTTTCTTTCTTTTAGATTCAGTTTCCCCATAAATCAGGATATTGTCGAATTACCTGTTTTGGAGTATACTACACTGGTAGAGACTTCTGATTAACCTCACAACCATGGGCACAATGCCTGGTGGGATGACATTGATTCCTGTTACGTGCCTTGAAATATAAAATATTGAAGTTATTATCTTATGAAAGGCTTCTTCATCTAAAGTTGAGGTGCATGCCCCATCTGATAATTCTCACTTCATATGAATGATAAGATTATGTAATTTGGAGATAGATCTGTAACTTTGATGTAGGAAGTTTAAGAGTGGTGAGATAAGGGGGAAGAAAAACATATGCTAATGTACTCAATCAAAGTGTTCTGAATCAACTAAGATATTCTAAGGGGAATTCCAAGTTAACTTTGGTGTCTACATGGAAAAGAAAAGGAGTGCTTTGCATGTGTTGTAGTTCCATTAAGGACAGGGTGAGCGAATGGTAAACATCATTAACATTGGTGGTGAGATACTAGAACTGTAATGCATTTAGTTAGGAGTTGTCAGCCTTTGATATGTTGTTGATTAATCACAGACAATGATCAAAATTTCGTTTCGGTGCATTGTTTCGGTTGCCTAGAAAATAGAAACATTTCGATGTGTTTTGAAAACGTTTCGATTTGTTTTGAAAACATAAAGAAAAAATAAAAAATTTAATAATTATTTTTCCAAAATATTTATCGAAATATACCAAAATATCTTTAAATACCTTGAAACATTTGTGCAAATGCATTGACACATTACAAAACACTATGAAATACCTCAAAGTATTTAAAATTTCGATTTCATCACTGATTTGTTTCGGTCTCCTTGGAAACGGAAACGTTTCGAAGTGAAATTTTGATCCATTAAGATAATGCTCCTATAAAATCAGATTTTCTGCTAGGCTTTTTTTTTTCTTCTTGGTTTGTGAATGATATGGTGTTTCTTTACAAATGATGGGAAAGTAAAGAATAGATATCTGATAGTTTTAATTGTATTATAACCAAAATATCTATTGTAACATACTTGGGACCTCAAATCAAGGTTCACCCTATGAATGAGGGGATTCTAATCTTGGTGCCCGCTTCTTAGTAAGCCTACACCACTAGGTCAACACATGTTTGCTTGTCAAATAGAGTGAGGGGGAATTTTATGGCCCTCATTGGGTCCTTTAAATCAAGGGGACATTTAATATCTTTGAGAACAGAAATTAATAACAAGATGGACTTTGAGAGAGAATCCTTTTCTTGACTTCTCTACAGGTTTTTTGGCAAAGAATTTGAAGGATGTATTGAGGGATTCCATAGTTAGAGATTGGGTGGTAGTAATTACTTCTGGGACATATAGGTGTGATGATTTAACTCGAGAAGGAACCACTTTTATTAGGATTTTGTTTTTGCGTTTTGCCTTCCCAAAAATTGATAGTTCAGTGAAGATTTTTTGCCATAAGTAAACTTTCAGCTCTCCTGCAAGTTAATGCGCCCTTACATTCAGAACTAACATATTAGACTAAAGTTTCTGTATCGAATGTCTTTTTATATCCCCAGATGAGAAAAGGGACCCTGATGCTTACTTTTATGATAGCTTCTCTCTGCTTCGCACTTCCATTGTTTGTAGTAATTTTATTGCTCAAGCTAGTGGGATGTGGAGAATTTAAACAAATGTGTGATTTATGGATATTGGATGCACTGTTGATTGTGTGTATCTCTTGAAACTCTATATCTTGATGTTGCTTGGGAAGTTACCTTTGGATCATCTTTATACAAACTATGTTTCATCTAACCTCTGGATCCATATGCTTGTCAGGGGTTGTTACTTCCAAGAAGGGGAAGAGGTGAAGATGGAGATGAGTGTAGAAAGTGCGTATCGGAGGTCAATTCAGACACTGGTGGATTGGGTAGTTCGTGAAGTAGATATGAACAAGACTCGGGTCTTCTTCCGAAGCTATGCTCCTGTACACTTCAGGTTTGTCTCATAACTTTCTATCTTGGATATCCTCGGTCCAGTTACAGGTGGTCTCACTTAACAGTTCATCTACTAATTTAATATTTCAGTTTTTGCTCCAATTGTGTAAAAAGAGCACCCAGTGAACGATTACTCCGGAGATATACTCAGATTGTGTGACACCACAATTTGTGGGCAAATACTGTTGGACTTTTTCACCAAAATTCATGTTCGGTACTTAAAAGAAAATTTTAAACATAATTTAACAATTGAAAAGCACATTTATGTTATGTAGGGGCAGTTTTTCTTTGCTGATAGTTCTCTTTCACTCTCTATGGGTTTCAAGCTTTTCAGAACCTTTTAAGACTATCAGGCTTTCAGCAATTGGATGATTAGCAATATTATGCTTACTTTCTTCTCTGCCATCATATACTCTACTTGTAATATGTGTCTTTTTGAAACTAGAGTATGGGGCACAAACAATGTGTGTGCAGAGGTTGAATGACGTTACTAACAAACTAGCAAGAATTGTAACCTGTATACTTAATTGTGGAAGAGATTTATTTGGGAAAAAGCATAAAAACATAGTTGGTTTGTCATTTTGGTCTTATGTTGAATGGAACTGACTTCTGCTAATTTCTCTCCTCTGTAATTGCTTGTATTTATCAACACTTTCTTTCTCTGTCTTAAAAAACTGCCTCCTTCCCATCTATCAAGGTAGTTATCATCGACAGTTTGAAATTCCACAAATCATTTCTTCTCCCTTTTCGATCAATTTAGTTGATAGTTATTTTGAAACTTCCCATAAGTTGTAATGCTTGAACTCAAAATGTTTGAAAAGGAAAATGAATTCCTTAGTTTATTCTGAAATAAGAAAGAGAGTATGCATTCCTAATTCCTAAACCATAAGAGTGTTGGTCTTTTGGGAGGCAAAAAATATGACGAGTTTTCGTGGATTGTTTTTCAGTTTACTACCCAATGCCAATTGGGTTATTGACCTTCCCTTTTCTTTGTTGAGGTGAATTATGTAGCATGAATTTTTATTTTTATTGAGCATATATTGTTGAGGTGGACTATTGAGGTTTGGGGAAACTGGATGGCAGGGGCCAGAGTAAAAAAGTTACCAATAGCTGGCAGGCAGCATCATTAGGTCTATGCTGTTGCATTCAGCAAAGAATTTGGTACTCTTTTGAAGGGGAGGAGTTGCCAGTTATAAAGCTGAAGCCTTTATGATATAATCATATAATTACCTTTGACTCGCAAAAAACTCTCTTCAACCCCTTACAACCCTTGTGAATTTAATATCGCACTTCCCATTAGGAGAATGTTCGGATTTTGCAAATATTTTATTGTGGATAGCCGGTTGTCTACCTTTCAGGTTTTGTTTCTTGGCTGAGGTTAGTAACAATAGCTGCAAGCACGTAATTCCATTTGTTGCTTCTATATTTTTCCTTCGGGTGATAGTACCTTAAAGTGAAAGAGCCTGGCTTTATCAATATATCTCAAGTCCTATCGACATTCAATGTGTGCTTCCTGTGAAAACAATCTGTGGAGGCAATGGTAACACAAAAACATAGATATGAGAAGCATTATCAGGGTAATAATCACTAAAAATCATGAGTAACTCGTCAGCCCAAGTATTTTGATTCTTGTAGATTGTTGAACCTGTGTCTAGAGCTATTGAAAAACTCATGGAGATAATTAGTGTGCTAATCATTATAATCACCAACTTTAACAGCGCTGGGGACTGGAAGACTGGTGGTAGGTGTCACCTGGAGACAATGCCGGACCTGGGTTCATTACCAGTTTCGTCTGAAACATTTGGTCAACTAAAAGCTGTTTCTGACGTGGTATCAGAACATTTACAGAAGTCAAATGTAACGCAAATGGATGTATTAAATGTGACCAGTTTGACAGCACTGAGGAAAGATGGCCACTTGTCTATATATTATTTTGGGCCAAACAACGCAATTGCTCCTCTCCACCGACAAGACTGCAGTCACTGGTGCCTGCCTGGTGTTCCTGATACATGGAATGAGCTTCTGTATGCACTCTTCCTAAAAGGGGAGTACAATCGCATACAAAATTCAAATTCAACGCAATCTGCTCCTGCTCCAGTGTGATTGGTGGAGATAGCTTGTTACTACGACAGCAATTTTAAAGGATGCCAAACATATTAGAACCTTTGCAAGTGCCTGAAACTAATACAATGATTTCAACCTGCTGCTTTCACCATACTTGGCTTTATTTTAGTAGATACAAAACAGAGAGTTGGCTGCTTTCATCGTACCTGGCCCGAGCCTGTCTGGTTTTCCCCACCAACCAAGAACTTCCATTGTACAGCTCTGCTTAACCTTGTATAGGACAGAAGTCTCCTTGTTCTACTTGGTGATAAACAGTCACGACTCGTGCAAAGAAGTGACCTGCATTGATCAGTCCAGCAATGAGCCTGCGCTTAATTATTAAAGAGGAACTATACTTGAGAATTTTTGCGGTTTTTGGATGAAAGACAGGTTTTGGGCAGCAAATTCTTCATAATCAGGTGATGCTGATGATTTATTTTATCAGAATCTCTTAATTTTAACTTTTGTATAGGCAGATTCTTTTTGCTCTTTTGCAAGTTGTTAGCTGACAGGAAGATACACAAAAGACGTTAGATTGTGGTCAAATATTATCATTCATCAATGGATAAGGAAAATTATACATGTACCAGTTCATGACCTTATCTAATGTATGTTTTTAAATGTCATTGTTCTAACCCAAGGGTATATGAAGTGGCTATATGAACGAGCTATAAATTCAGGCGTTTTGAGTTTAAATCTTGACAACTCTTTGGAGTCACGTCAGGATTCATGAGGGATTTATCCCTCATGAATTCTCTAGTCTCGGCGGCGTGGATAACTTTTCTTTGACCGGACTGGGGAAGAGTTCAAATGATGTGCCCATAAGATAATTTGGACATTCTTGACCATTGAATTGAAAAGAAAAAAAAAGAATGTCATTGTTTTTTATTTTCTTTTATCAAATCCTTATGGACAAGAAAGCAGTTTTGTATAAAAAATATAAGAATAAAAGTTTTGAGGGTAATGTCTTTGTCCATGAAAATTGACAGGAATCATACAATATTCAATGAAATTTTCAGATTAAGATAGACTTTTTTTGGTTTAGGACGTAATAGACTTGAGTGGGTTGATTTTTTTTTTTTTATTTTTTTTTTACAGTTGGGACCCACTCATTTTCACCTTCTAACTCTTGGAAAAGCTGGATCAGACAAATTGGCTTGTGCCAATATCTATTAGGTCATGGCACTGCATTTTGGAGGGAGACAACGAATGAAAAACGTTCAATTCTTATCTTTTTTTGGTGATGGAAACTCATGTAGGATAGAGTCCTAAAATGTTTCCAATCTGATGAAAACTTACAAGGATAAACTTCCCCATTTTATTTTCCTAACAAGACAAAATTAGTTGATTGACAATTTTTAACACAGACCCGTGTATCTGATACGAAGTGATATATACAAAGTTATCACGTATGGATATAGTCTTAATGGTTTGGGTCATAAATTAGATAACAACTTAGACTTGTTAATACACGAGTCAAAATCAATCCCGTTATACATGACATAAACCTGTCTATACACAATAGATATTTAGTATGAATTTAACTATAAATTGATGAGTTGGAGACCTAATGTAGAATAAACTAATGATGCAGAATAAATGACAAGAATTTTAGTATTTTATTTGAATATAATCAATTCCATTCAATTAGGAAAATTTAGGAGATTTTACTGTATTTCCTAATTTAATTTATTTTTTGGTTTAATTATAATTTTATTTTATTTGGTTTCCTAATTTATTTAAGATTCTAGTTTCCTAGTTGCTTTAGGGTTTCTACAACTATGTAAAAATCTTGTAGGCCTTGCGCCAAAGCAGTTTTTGGATTATTCAAGAAATTCCTAATTTTTTTGGTATTCTTATGAATTAACAGAGTTATTGAAATTTTTAAGACTAGTATTCTTTGTGAATCAACAAACCTATAGTAAAAATTTAAATCTGTATTTGTGTGTAAATCAACGATTTATTTTCTTTATCCATTTTTGTTCCTTATACTCTCATTTCTGCCCATTTTCCCGTAGCAGGATCGGTGATAAATACTAACACAACATAACACCGACGCAATACTACACTACCCATATGCCACAGCCAGTCATTGATATTATGCTTGGCTTCAATTTGCACTTTGCTAATTTCCAAATGGAGATGATCAATGTCAGATGCTATGCACTGGAAACATAAAACAAAATAACCAATTATGAGTTTAATTTTAGCTTCATGAGAAAATATAGAGCAATAGAAGTCATTGTTATGGTAATACAAGTAACTCAACTTGTTATTGAAGAAGGCAATGCTCTCACACCTTTTACAAGTTCCACAAAAATACAAATGTCTCATTTTCAATCGTACATTTTCCCACATTTAAGGATCTTTCTTTTTCTTTTCTTTTATACCATTCTTCTTATACATACATGTTATGTGCCAAAAAAATGGCTTTAGTGATCACATACAACACCATATGATCATATGTTAAAATTAATGGCTATCTGTTTATTTAGTTTCAAAACCAGCAAGTTCACCTAGTTCTTCCACCTTTTGTGCTAATACCTCAATCTTTTCTACCATCTCCATCAACTGGAACAGAAAGCTTGCAATGGCAACCCCTTCACCATTCTCTGATGCTTCTCCTACCTTGGAAGGAAATGGGACTCGACTCAGCTCTAGTTTCATGGGCTGCAATTTTGGGAATATCAACACCTTGGCCCTGCACTTTTTCATTATTGTGATGCTCTCTCCAAGCTCTCTCAAAGTCCATGCAAGTGACAACCCTACCAATTCACACGGTTCTTTGATCGACTGTTTTAGTGTTGATGTGGCCTGATGATAAAAATTTGATCATACCAAATTAACCATCTAGCTTATGACATGTTGTAAGAAAAAATTGACATATATCGTATTTATTACTGATTAGTTTAGTGAAAAATCATGAACACGAATGAATATTCGATACCTGTGTAGGTGATTGAAGACATCCTTTCATTGAAAAAATGGTTACAGCAAGCTCTCTAAGATCCTCTCCAATCTCTAGGTATTTCTCCCAAGGGTAAGAGAATCCAAATTTTCCATGCCATGGCTCCCATCTTGCAAAGTTTGCCTGATACACAAAGTTAGATTCTCGTTATATTTGTCATTGATTTAACTGTGGATCCTATTATTTATTAAAACTTATTATCTATTCAATGATAGTGATTTATCAAGTCAAGTTTTAAAGTCAATTTTTTAAGTTTGTATAGCACTGCTCTTTACTTGAGGAAAATGCTAAATACATCTGCTATTAATGATCCATTTTGCCGAAAAAATCGATGCTGGCCCAACCACAAGGCCAATAAAGTCTGGGCTTTAGGTCCCACAATTAAAATTCGGCCCAATAACTTTGAAATCGTGGGTTCAAACTTGATGGTATCTACTTTGTACAGATAATATCAAAGGTTATGTCGCGCTAATTGTTTAACTTAGCTTAATATAACTTACTTTGTCCAACAAAATAGCTATACAAGAAAAGAAATATACCAGTGACTGGTCATTGGACTTTGAGTGTAAAACTGTCATGCAGGTGGTGAAATCAACTGTTTTTCCCTTTTCATCCACTGTTTGGAAGTACTGCTCCAAGCATCCTACACATCAATCACATGAGAATTTCAGCAGTTTGATAAAATGGCTTAAATCAATAGGTAAAGAAGGTGGGATTATGATTTTTATTATTGGTAAAGCCAACTTCACAACATAAAAAGGGGTAAATTAGGTCTTGTTTGGTTTGCGTCTCAAAAAATAGTATCTGAAAATTATTTTGAGTGTTTTTTGTTCTGTAAAATTTATTTGGTTATTTGATTCCAAAAGCAGGTTTACGGTATAGAAAATAATAAAACTTATTTGGGCTGTAACCTAGAAAATAATTAAAACAGAAATGTTGTAATAGTAAAAGTGTAGACGTCGTGGTGGTGGTAAAAGTATGGTGGTAGTGTTGATGGAATTGTGGTGGTGGGAGTGTGGTGGACATGGTGGTGGAAGTGTGGTGGTGGAATGTTCATGGTGGAGGTGGTGATGTTTTCTAAATTCTGGAAAAATTATTTAAAAAAACACACAATCAATTTCTAATTTGTTTTCTAAATCTATCTAATTTTTGTCCTCAATTTTTAAAAAACAAAAACAAAAAGTAACTGACCTAACAGTTTTTCTCTCAGAAACTAATTTTGAAAATAGAAAACAGTTTCTGAAATACAAATCAATCAGGACCTAAGTTTTTGTTGATTAGCCTAAAATTTATTATCTATGAAAAATGTTTGCGGTATAAACTAAAGCTAGAGCATTGGAGATTTGGGCTTTCTGTATATAGATATGGGGTGTACCTTCAATACAGCAAGCAAGTTTTTCAAACTTAGTAGCTGCAGAATGGTGAAGTTCATCGCTAGCCCACATTGGGAAGACGAGTAAGCTGGTGAATATGCATACAGCAAAACCCATACCAATTGTGGAAAGACGATCACGGGCTAATTTCATCACTTCATCAGCACGAACACCAGATACCACCACCAGATTGAAGGTAAGGATGAAGATCATGGCTCCATAGTCATATCTTCTCTTAATGCTTGGCACCAATCGAGAGTACGTTGCAGCAGCAGCTATCCATGAAAATAATAGATGATCAGAGTAATGTTTTTCTCTATATGGTCTCTTGGGCGTGTTTTGAATTTTGTTGTATATCTTATTTATTAAAAAAAAAAAGGAAAGATCGACGATTTACCAGCATAAGCTAAACAAAAAGGCAGAAGGTACCACATCATGTCAAATAATTAGTTACTTTGTTGCTATGCAGTGAAATATATGTACTGTTTTGTCAGCAAATAAATTTGTTTTGGGAGGGAAAAAATATATATTAATGTAGTAAGTTTGAGAGAACAAACAAAAGCTAAACAAGAGCTTTTTTCTTACCAAAGATAAATACAGAAGTGCTAACAGCAATGGCACTGCTAATTCTACCGTGAACTTCATCGGCTAAAATTGCA